ATCTGCAATCTCAATAGTTAAAATTGTAACATTGAATCTTACATTATTAATGGAAATCTAACATATCAAATGATGCAGAGCAGCGATCAAGCCAAATCCTTAACTATCATCTCATTGCTTGATATACAGGTCATGATTCTAGTTAGAAAGAGGGTTCACACTGATTTTTGCTGGCATGGAATGGGTCAAAGAGAGTACGCGTCGGAAGGTGCACGCACATGACTATGGCGCAGAGTCATTAAATTCAAGATTATGATGTTTCTGAATCTTCCACCTCAGGCACAATTCAAACACTGTGTGCCCAGCTTAATAATGTGAAATTGACACCAGCGGAAACTGCTGACGAACAAGGTTGAGCAAATCCCAAAGGCTTTGAACATGGTTGTGAAGGGAGAGAAAAACTAAAAGCGGTAAAACGATGAATCGAAGTGTGGGACCTACATTTTTCAGCAGTATTATTCTTCCTCGATCCTTCGATTAATAAATTCTGAATTTTCCTGCTTGATTTGTTTCTCCTTTAAGAAAATGATTTTTAAATATAATTTTTTAAATATTTTTTACTAAAATAAAGAGGATATAAAATAAATTGACCTCTGAACTATAGGTTCAAAAATATTTCACATTTTAAATTTATTTTTGATGCAACATTCCATTTGAATTTTTAAAAATAATATAATATAATTCATACCATAAACAAAAAGTTAATTTTGATTATTAATTGACTAAAAAATAATAGAAAAGAACATAAAAAATTATAAAAATGGCCAATAAAATTTTCTTGTTTATTTTCTATAATTTTTTGTGTCCTTGCCTATAATTTTTGAATCCTTTATTGTGATTTTTAGATTTGATTAATTAACGGTGAAAATTAACTTTTGTTAATAGTCAGATTGTATCATTTTAAAAAATTAAAAAAAATAGTATACCAAAAATAATTTTAGAGTTTTAGAAGCTTCTAGATTTATATTTTAGATGTGAATTTGCTACTTAACCCAAATAAAAATCGTTTCTAAATTTTGTTTCTACAATAAAAGTTTATTTTATATAATTGGAGACATAGCTAATCTGTTGAAATTTTGTTTCTGCATTAAATTATCTATGAGTTTGTTTCTGCAATAACATTTTGCACCATAAATTATCTATGAGTAACACCCCAATAATGCCTAAAAGAATATTAATCCAAAAATATAAGGCATTTTTTCATATAAAAGATGTTTAAAATATAACACATTTTGAGTATTTTAATATGTAATTAATGATATTTTTCAAAACTACTTTAAGGGTGTAATTAATAATATCTTCTAATTAAATAGGAGTAAATATAAAAAAAATGTGTAATTTTAAAGATAGCTTAACTAGCTCTTTGACGAGCCCAATTCAATTAAAAATACCTTATAATATTGAACTGATGGTGTATAAGATATTTAATTTGTTTTCTTTTGAACACATATAATTATTAGGGTTAAGAGTTATTTGTATCATTTAACTTTATCCCAAAAGTCAATGAGTATCAAAAACTCAACTATGGATCAATTATATCTCTCAACATTAAAAAAGCATTGCCTCATACCCCTAGCATTGATTGACTGTCTTCTCTCATTATATAGGTCTCACATTTAAATTTTTTAAATATTTTTTATTATAAAATATTCCCTCTCTCACTAAAAAAATGACTTTTGGCGGTGACAAAAAGTCGTGGCCAAAAGTCTAAAAGTCACCATTAAAGGTTCTTAGTAGTGACTTTTTGCCGTTAAAAAAAATTTTTAGCGGCAATTTTTTGTCGCTAAAGGATCGCCACCAAAAGTCTTATCGCTAATAAAGTATACCTAATTATCACTATCAAAATTTTTTGCCGCTAAAAGTTTACCTTTGGCGGTGACAATTATCACCGCTAAAAGTATACTTTTGACAACAATCATGTTTGTTGCTGCTAAAAACTATTAGTGACAAAACTTTTAGTGGTGTCCCTTTAATGGCAAAAAGTCACCCCTAAAAACCTTTAGCGGTGACTTTTTGCCACCACCAAAAGTCAACTTTTAAAAAAAATAAAAAAGTCATCTCATGCCACATCAACGCCTCCTTGTGCCACGTCATCTGATATCTTATGTCATATCACCTACAACGTGTGCACCTCCTAGTGCCACGGCACATGCCATATCACCCTGCCATGTGTGCACCACATCACCCCACCATGTGTGCGCCATGTCACACTATATTGCCATCACATGCCACATCACATATTCATTGTGAATTGTGAAATATGCTTAAATCAAGATTTGAGCCCTTAACCTCCATCCTTCCCAAGCTTTAAGTCCTCCTTTGTTGTTAGTTTGAGTTAAAATACACCTGCAGTTATTTTATATAAAATTAAATATATATTATTTAATTATATACACATATATCACATAATATATTATTAAAAATATATACATATATATTTTATTTTATTTTCATTTATTAATATGTTAAAGTAATTTCTATGAGTGTGTGTGTGTATTATTTTTTTAATAAAATATTATTTTTGTTAGGAAAATGAACTTAAAATGAAATAATTTTTAAATATTAAATAATTTTCTTATAATTTTTTTACCAATTTTTAAATTTTATTTTTTTTTTTAATAAAAATAATTAAGTATATAATTTATCTATAAGTATGTATTATATTAGTTTACATTAAATATATTTTACTTTTTTTCCATATTGTTCCCAAAAATTAATAAATAAATTATTAAACTTTTATCTTCTCCCAAGTTAAATGCTTCCCCTTCTTTTATTAAAATAAATTTTATCTATAATTTTTCAATTATCTTAAAAATATTTTAATAAAAAATTTATTTTAATCATGTAAATTTTATTGATAGTCATTTTGGAAAATTATTTTTTTATTATCTTTGTGATAGAAAATGGGTGAATATGTGATAAACTCAAAGTAGATGCTAAATACAAAAAACTCCAAGTTAAAAATTTAAGTGGATACTTATAATCAAAATAGAATGAATCTTATTTTGACATTATCTAAATTAGTTTAGACTTCTATTAAAGTCTCTTTAACAGAGTCAATTTAAAGTTATTAGGAAATACTTTTTAACAACTATACAATTTAAAATAAACAAATTTTAATAAGTTTATACATAATTTCATCCATAATTTAAAAAACTATTAAGTATTCTCAACCTATTTTATTTATTGCTTATTTTAAATAACCATCAAATATGGAGCATCTTATTTAAATAATCAAGTAACAATAAAAAGTAAAGCTCAACAAATGAAGTAGACACCATTTGTCTACTAAGCCAAGTATCAGGTGCATAATGTATTAAGTAGTCTGTAATGCCATTTGCATCTTACAATATCTATATAATTTTAACATTCTAATGTTTATATATAACTTTAACATTCTATTGTTATTTATTTCTCATTCTATATATAAATACTTTTAGTGGCAAAATTTTGCCACTAAAAGTATTTACAAAATATTTTTTAGTTTTTTAATTATTTTTTATGAATTATAAAATAATTAAACAATTAAAAAATAATTGGAAAAATTATTTTTAATTTTTTAATTATTTTTTTATAAAAATACTTTTGACGGCCACAGTAATTACAAAAATTATTTTAAATTTTTTAATTATTTTTTTATGAAAATACTTTTGGCGGCGACATTTTTCACCACTAAAAGTAATTATAAAAAATATTTTTAATTTTTTTATGAAAATTCTTTTGGCATTTGTTATAGCAAAAAGTATTTTTAGTAGCAAAAATTAAATGTCACCGTCAAAGGTCTATTTTTAAAATGATTTTTTATTTTTGACACCAAAAGTAGACCTTTAGTGACTATTTTTTTTGTCTCTTCTAAAAATTGTCGTCAAAAGCCATTTTTTTTTAGTGTCTCCTCCCGCTCCTTCATTCCCTCCTTTCTTTCGAATGTATCATCTTGCCTCGTTGAGCTCGCTAAATATGAAGCCAACAATCGACTGTGTTTGAGATATGGTTGTAGGATCCACTTCTTGGCAATCATCCAGGCCACTTTCGGTGGCAGTGCAACCAGTATTATCGTTGTTATCAGTACTTTTGGAGCTATTTGCATCGTAGGTGATATTTTTCTTGGGAGGAAGAGGCAACAATGTCATTGTAGGGCAGTGAATCAGCAGCTGCGTTAAGTTGATTTGAGGTGAAATGATCTGATTTCTTGTTGTTGGGAAGAGGGGGGAGATTACCTCTCTTCTTGTTATCATCGGAAAAGCATTTGGAAGTCTTCTTGTTGGCTAGAGGGGGATTGCTTTTGATGGTGAAAAGCCAAGGCATTGCCACAGAAACAGCCTAATAGGAGAAGCTCTCAAAAGCCCGAGTCATGACTAATGCTCTTGCTTTTGTGTTATTGCCTCCTTGTTGAGGCTTCTCGTACTTCCACACATAAACTTGAGAATCTTTGCTTGCACTTGCCACGTGTCCTCCACTCAGACTAAATGAAGCTACAATTGACTGTTTGAATTTTGGAAACCCGTTAACATACCCAATGCCACCGATGCCAAGAGCAATAAGGCAGAACGCTAGAAACGCCACCGTGTTCTGTGTCATGGGCTCATGGTGGCTTGGCAGTTCTTTAACTCTCATTGCAGGATGGAGTCAAAGAGAGAGGGAATGAAGGAGAGAGAGGAGAGGAGAGTAGGGAGGAAGGTGGGAATATTTTATAATAAAAAATATTAAAAAAAATTCAAATATGATATCCAGATAGCGAGAGAAGACAACCAAATAATGTCAGGGGTATGGGGCAATGAATTTCTAATGTTGAGAGACAAAATTAACTCATTATTGATTTTAGAATGTTAGTGATTTTTTGAATAAAATTGTGAGACAAAAATGACTGTTAATTCTAATTGTTAATATTACCTCAGCCACAATTACATGATCACAATTTGCTAAATAATACAATAATCACATCACCTATAAACCATATCTCACTCATCTACAAACGCTACAACTAATATCAAGGAGGGTGATAATTAAAAACTTGTCATTAGATTATATTCTTATCAAAATACAATGTTTGGGGGAAATTGAATACTTGATCGTGCAATATTAACATGTAAAAATTTATAAACTTACCGTATTTGTATTATATTATACAGAGAACCTAATATGAACACTTGCTTAACCACTGACACCAGGCGTTGTAGATTCACTTCCCCATTTATCAGCAACACTGTTTGGAGAACGAGGTGGTGGCTTCATGTTCCTCAACAAGCCAACCTCATCCCAATTGGGCGATTCTGGAGGCAATCGTGGGGCATCCTGTACTAGATCACTCCCACTTTGAATCCTCTCCAACGTCTCCAACACCTCCTCCATGGAAGGTCTCCATTCCTTGTTATTCTGTAAACACCGAAACGCCAACTGAGCCACCAGAACCACCATCCTCTCCACTTCCCCATCAGTCTCAAACCCAAGAGAAGGATCCACCAACTCACTCAGCTCACTCCTCTGAATCTTCCTCACTGCTAAACTCGACAAGTTAATCGAGTCCGAATCTCGGCTCATGTCGACCGCTGCCATTGATGTTATGAGCTCGATGAGCACAACTCCAAAACTATAAACATCGCTCTTGCTCGTGAGCTGATAACATTGATGGTATTCAGGATCCAGATAACCTGGTGTCCCTTGAGGAGCAGTGAAAACATGAGTAACATTGTCAGGGAACAACCTCGAGAGTCCAAAATCTGCAACCTTGACATTGAAGCCTTCGTCGAGGAGAATGTTGTTGGTTTTGATGTCGCGGTGGATGATGTCGGAAGCGTGGAGGTAGACCAATGCTCTTGCCGTTTGGACAGCGATTTTCATGCGAGTGGACCATGGTAAAACGGTGGGCTTTTTTGGGTCTCTGTGAAGGTGGAGGTGATGAGCGACAGTGCCGTTTGGGATAAATTCATAGACAAGGAGGAGCTCACGACTATGGTGAGAGGTGCAGCCATAGAGAGAGACGAGGTTTTTGTGGTGTAGGCGAGTGAGGATCTTGACTTCATTAATGAAGTGTTCTACTTGTCTATAGTTTTGCTCGTATAGGCGTTTCACTGCAACTTCACGTTCATCTTCAAGTTTACCTGATTAATATCATTCAAAAAAAAACTATCATACAATAACTTAAGAAGCTACAAACTATTATAAAGACTACTATCACCATCAGGTTTTTCAATTACAATTTAACTTTTCATAACTTGAAAAGTGTGTTTTTTTGCCACGTCAGGAGGATTAGAAGTTTAAACATTTGGCTTGCCCGCCCCACGAAACCGAATTTTGGTGTCTTTGTACTTTCTAATGTCAAAAATCTCAGTTTTTAATCTCATCTAATTCTTTTGGGGCATTAGAATCATAGACACTCCAAATCCAAACCCACCCAACAATATCCCATTATTGATTTTAAAAAAATATATTATAAGCGTTATTTATTTTCATTCTTTATTTGCAAATATGAGACTTCTTGTCGTTAGTATATGCAATTTCTTATCCTCCGATATTTTGAATTAATTAATTCATAATTCATTTTTCCCCAATACAAATAAACTGACAAGATCATAAAAGATGCGACTGCATGAACCTAAGCCCATGAATAAGAATAGGAGCAAGGTAAGGTTACCGTAGTAGACAGTGCCAAAGCCACCGTCTCCGAGTTCTCGGGTCGGGTCAAAATTGTTGGTAGCTGCTTCGAGCTCCGAATACGAGAAAACAGGGACTCCAAAGTACACATTGCTGCCCTCAAAGCGGGAATGACCACCGTATATGTTAATTGAATCTGAATCCTCGGATTTTCTTTTCCACCGCCACCATACGATCATCCCAATCGTTATCACCAACGGGATTCCAATCCCTAATCCTGTCCATTGACAATATCTGTACATAATCCCGCTACTCTATGCTCTAGACTATTTTCTTTTTTCATTTTTTTGGATAATCGATATAGAATATTTTCTATATGTTGAAAAAAAAAAACATTTTCCATAAACTATGTCACTCCACATTTTATAGTTATAAAAAATATCTCCTCATTTCTACGCTTGTATTAGTAACATGAGTTGAGAAATTATGCATGGAAATTATAGATATTAGTTGTGAAAAAGGAAAAAATGGAATTTTATTTATATGTTAAATACTCCTTTCAATTCTCATTATAAAACACTTTAATTAACTTATTGAAATAAAAAAAAGTAGTTAAATCATTAACTTTATTTAAAAATAAAATAAATAAATAAAATTAAAATTGCATCTCATTCTCTCTCATGATTAATGAGTTTAAATATAAATAATATTATAAAAATGTAATTAATATTTTATCAACTATCTTATATTAATAATAAAAAAATCTTCTAATAAGCGCTCTATATTAGGAACCATAAAAAGTATATGTTAGAAGTGTCATATATCATGGACAAGAAAGAGTGTATATGTTTTGAGAAAAATAATAATTGATCAATGAGCTTATTTTAAAATTACCACTTATGAATTATGATTACACTCCTTAAAATATATATTATAATATATATATATATATATATATATCTTTATCTTTCTCCCTTATTAAATGAGAAGGTATTTTTTGAAGTTTATATAAAAAAAATGTATTTAGAGAACTGAACTTTTATGTTTAATATCAGAAAGTGAAACTGATGGCGTAAAAGAGAGAGTCGTGTTGTAAGTTGATAAGGTAATTACCTAATCTCAATGGCAGCTTATTCACCCGATTCTCTGCACCACAAGTTAATTAAATGAATCCATTAAAATTGGAGACTCAACTGTTTCAGAAATAAAAATATCAGTCTCCTATCAATCAAAACGCTCCAGGATTCAAATTACCGCCATCACCATATCATCAATATCAACTTCATATTTGATATAAAATATAGAATTTCTCACAAACTGCATTCTTCATTAATTATATAAATAACATGACTTACACGACACAGCTGCCTTATTAGAATAACAAATTACATGAATGAGTACATCAGCCACAAGCCAATGGATATGAGTTGTATTCTATGAATAATACAATTTTCTGTTACTTATTTAAAAATATAGATATGGATAAGCCCATAGATGTGGACCTAATTAGCTTTTAGTTTGAAAATTTTGCGGCTGGAATCTTCTACTAATAATATGTCAGAGATTTGGACCTAACTTGTGCTAATTTTTCAAACTGGGAAAACGTCCCATTAGATCAAAACATCATTTTAAATTCCTTTTGGATTATCTAACTTTATTATATTTTAGTTTTTTATTGGTTTGAATACATCAACGGTTTAATAATGTTATTTTAGTTTTAGAAATAGACAAGGATCATGGGTTGAAATTGAATACCAATTGAGTTAATTTTATTAACGTGTGCATAACTTTTTAACTCATTTGCTGACATATACATAATTTCACATTTGTCTTTCACGTACATTTTGTTTAATTAAGCCAAATATAAAAGAAAACCTTTTTTCCTTTTATTTTTAATTATACCTCATAAATTTATTTCAATGTCAACATATTTTTACCACACCAACAAAATCATTGAGAGAGTTACAGTAAAATTAATCCTATTAGTATCAACTCATAGTCATTATATGCATGTCTAACAAGTCAAATTAAAGAGAATGAATATGTGAAAATAAAATTATAAGGATTAAAAACAAAACATATGCACAATAAAGGGATCTACTATTATATTTTCCCATGTAATTTTCACGAGAAGTAAACAAGGACTGTTTTGTTTTTTTTCCCCCCTTTAGTTTGAAAGGGTCAAAAAACCAATTTACGATTAGCCAATTAATTATACAAATAACACATCTTTCTTTGTCACAAAGTCAAGATATAGCTGTTTAGCGTTGAAAATCAACACTTGTTTAACTGATATCATAAGTTGAATAAAAATAGTAATAATATAAGTAAAGACAAAGAGACCAACTTTTTTTTTAAAAAAAAAAAGGTAAATGATGATTATAAGAAGGATCAATTGAAAGATCATGAAGCAAAAGACGTCACCTAACAGCTAAAGATGAATGTGAGTATCATAAAACAAAACTTAAACTAGTATTATTATAATGCTCAATCATATAAAATGAATTGAGATTTCAAACCTTGCGCTCTAAGATGTTAACGAGTGACAAGTTGACCAGTGACCTCAACTATCTACATAGTAAATTTCCATGTTATTCTTTTCATTTCCTAATTTTTTATATCGGTGAAAAAGTTTAAATATATTCAAACGTGAAAAATTAAGCCTGCTTTTAAAACCACCGCAGGTCAAACGATTCAATTTTCAAATAACTGAAGCACACGAGAAATTTTCACACACCAGTTTTCAATCACATGACACCGTAATTGACTGGCACCATAATCATTTTACCTCTGTATGCATGTTTTGTTCGACATTTACGATTTTAAGGTGGCCAAAAACAAATATGCACGATGTCATAATAAGAAAAAGGGAAGTAAATGTGTTCTCAAGACTTGATTTTGAACAAAAACTAAATCAAACCAAACCAATCAATTTATTACAGTTAAGGACTTATTAAGTTTTTTTTTTGTCTTTTATTTTTTTATTTGGTTTTTTAGTAGTTTAATTCAGTTTAGCTTACGTTTAGATCAAATTTGAACTTTTTTATTTTTGAGATATTCTTCATAATCACCAATATATATTCATGTTCATTGATGATTGATCACTATTCATTGTCATTTGCAGTGAAAAATTGCTTGAGTATTGAAGAATTATTTTTAACAATTAATTAGCATATTTTAATTATTAAAAATTAATATATTATATTTAAAACACCTGATTATAAAATTTAAAAATTATCATAAACAATTATGGATAAAATTTATCAAATTGTGACATATTTTTATAAATGATTTACAAATGACTAAACTTGGAGAAGGTAAAAAACTTAGACAAATTTATAAAAATATATATAATAAATATAATAAGACTTAGTTTTATTTAGTTCAAGTTTTCATAAGCAAAAAATTAAACCAAACATAACTAATTGCTTTGTCAAAAAAAAAAAACCAAACCAAACCTTATTTATAATCGATTTTGATCGGTTTATGTCGATTTGGTTTGATGTAATTGATTTGAATTAGTTTTGAGCACCCTTAAAGTAAAAGGGATCATTTCATGATGGATCATCATTGGCTAGCATGATGATGGAAGATTGTAATATGCACAATGAATATACCCTCTGTTTGCAGTCTCCATTTTATTGTGACTTGAATTTGGTGTGTAGTCTAAGTCAACTGAATTAATGAGTATTTTAATTATAGTTATTGGATTTCATCAACGCTTAAAAAATTATTAAGATATATTTTCTTTCAAAATTTTAAAATAACTTTTCATATTAGCACATACCTTTCGTATGTTGTTCCTTCCAAAAATTTAAAATTTAATACTTTCTAAATATTATATAATAAATTTTTTATAATTATTTAATTAAATAGAACAATTGTTATCATGTTATGTATGATAATCATTGAATGAGTAGATTTACATTACTCACTTGTCCAAACCTTGCTTTGTGCCTTTTGTTTTGGTGCTTCTTTCTTCATTCTTTCATTATTACCTCTGTCTAGTGTTCTTCATGTCGCTATGCGGTTTATGTTTTTGTTGCTCTTTGTTACATATTTAAAGAGAATCATCACTCTAAGTGTGTTTGGTTTGAAGAGATGGGAGGTGATGGGAGGAGAGAGAAGGAGAGAGTTTTAATATTACTTTATTTAATTTTGTTAGAGACTTAGAGGGGAGGGGAGGGGAGGGGTTTTTAATGATCATTTGTTTGGTTTAGAAGGGAAGATAATAACTAATTTACTATTATATCCCTTACATTAACTTAATTTTTTTAATTATTCCTTGTAGAAAATAACTTTACACCTCAATTTAAATTGCATGATTTTTTAAAAATTCACTCTCATGCTATCATATTGTTAATATGTGAATAAAAATTAAACAAATAATTATAATGATAATAATTTTTTATAAAAAATAAATAACTCCCTTAAATATATAATAGAATATGATGAATTCTAATTTTTTTAAAAAAATTCAATGATGTCAGTCAAGGTTTGAGAATGAAGCACAATTCAATGTAAAAAAAATTTTAGTTATAGGTATATTTAAAATATTAAAAAATAGATAAAAGTAAAATAATTTAAAAATTAGCTCCCCTCCAAAAAAACTCAATTTTGAGGAAAGCAATATAAAGGGAGGAGAGGGGAGGGGAGGGGTTATTTTGGCTCCCCTCCCTTCCAAGAATTCTTAAACAAATGAGGGACATCTCCCCTCCCCTCCAAAACCTCCAACCAAATACACCTTTTATGTTTGAAAAATTAATTAACGGGTTCTCTAATTTTTTTCCAATTTTTCAATTTTAAATTAAGTATTTGTAATTTTATTATTTTAATAGAGCTTTTATATCTTGATATGTTAGTTTATTAATTTTTAAAAATAAAAATCCTTGAATTTTTTATTTAAAAATTAAAATTAAAAACTCTTATATTTTAATTAAAATATTATATAATTTTAAAATTAATTACATAATTTTTATAACTGAAAATTTATATAAACATTGTAGCAAATCAAACTTTTCCCATTTTTATTGGCTAAAAATATTAAATCAAATTTTTTAGAAACTATAAAAAGTTTTTATTTTGAAGAATTTAATCATTCGTTAATGATTATATCTTTCAAGAATTAACATATTAAATGAATTAAACTATAAGAATTTAATTAAAACAAAATAAATTGTAAAGGCCTCATTTAAAATTGAGAAAAATTATAAAAACCTACAAATTATTTTTTCCTTAAAAAATTTAGGGATAATTATATTTAGTTTTCTCACAACACAATTAAACATCCCAATGTCCATTGACAACTCACCACAGTAAAATGATATAAAATTTATAATTCTTTTAAAATTTTAAATACCTAAATATTTCAAACAATCCTTTCTTTTTTTTGCCCAACAACAATCCTGTTTTTAAACAAGTCACACAAGTAAGAACTCATATTGGTGTGAATTTTTTAATATTATCTAAAGAATAAATGAGTAAATTACCTTCTAAACTTGAGGCCTGATAGCACAATAGACCTTAAATTTATTTATTATAAAAATTATTTTCTCAACTTTTAAAAATAATATAATCTAGCTACTGCCATTAATAAAAGTTAATTTTAACTATTAATTAATCAAAAAATGACAAAAAGGCACCCCAAAAATTCTTGGAGTCATTGTCTGTAATTTCTGGATTCTCTATTGTAATTTTTTGTCTTTTTTTTGTAATTTTTGAGGTTCTCTTCCATCATTTTTTAGTCAATTAACATTATAAGTTAACTTTTACTAACAATAAAAATTAGATTGTACCATTTTTAAAAGTTAAAGAAATAATTTGTGCAACATACGAGCTCAGATTCTATAGTTCTACTTAACCAAGAGTTTGAGGGTTAATTAATTTATTTACCCTTATCTAAGCAGAGGGTTTTAAATATATAAAATTTAAATGTGATTTTAAATTTAAAATTCAAATCAAAATTCATCTATTCAAATACAACCTAAAAGCATATTCAAAATTAACAAAATCTATTTTCCCTTTATTAAAAAAAATGATATGAAGCAGTGGCTAAATCGACCATAAATTATACAGATCAAACTAACTAGAAGTTTGATATATAAAACATATTGCTGGTATAAAAAAAAGATATATAGTGCATATTATTCAAGATTTATGTATCGTATGATTTATTAAAAATGTTATTGCGTATATTGATATTGATATGGCTATTATAATTCAAATTATTATTGGTAGGTGTTGTCAACGGCTTTTATTGGGGTAAAGTCATTTAAGATTATTTTAAGAATTGTTTAAGAGGGAAAGAGCATTCACATAATGGAGGGAACATATATATATATATATATATATATTGATTATTAGTGATTTGAATAGCTGTAAACATGCATTTTTTTAATTAAAAAAATCCTTGATCACTACTCTATTTCCTATTTTAACTCTTACAATCTGAATCAGCTAGCCCCTAATAGATTAAATTGGTCAGCCACTCTTTGTTAAGTCCTGTCTATTTTTCAATCTTTGAATTGTTGGTATTTGGTTAAATCTCAACATCTACAAGAGGGGGGAAAAAGGGATTCATGAGTTGCCTAAATTCATTTACTCAATAATTATGTCAGACTATAATCATTTAATTTAATTGATAATTAAAAGTTATCAAGATTCAATTCTTAAAAAATTCATAACAAACCTCATGATTGTGACACTTGTCATATATGATGTCCTCTAAATTTTTGAAATTTGGTGCTATATGACAATTTCTAATATTCAACTAAACTATTATATAGTGCCACAATTTACGACAGCTCTCATTAAGTAAGTTTATATCGCCTAATATAAATACAAAAAAAAATGCTAATGTTTTTGGAGTTGGCTTCCCTCAACGGAGGGAAGCCTTCTCTATCCCTTCATCGAGGGAGAGACAAATCTGGATCATCTAAATTTAATATGAACCATTCAAACTTACTATTTTTAATTTTTATTTTTAAATAAATATATATATATATATATATATTGTAAAAATTTTAATAAATATGACTATCAATCTAACAATCCAGATTTGATATTAAAAATTTAAATTAACTTTTTAAATATATTTTAAACATCATAAATATACTCTGAACAAAGCAGTAAACTTATTAAAAAATTTTAATATTTGATAAGTATATTTCTTAAACAAATTTATAATTTTTACATTTTTTATTTTAAAAATAAAAATTAAAAATATTAAATTTCAACCGTTTAGATTAATTTGAACGGTTCACATTAGAAGTAAAGGAGGCTTCCCATGCTTTTCAACCTAGGACCCCGTAGGAGATCAAGAGTAAATGTAAAGTGTTATGATTTGGAAAGAAATATTCTTAAAATTTCAAGGCAACATTCTTAAACATCATCTTTCAATCTTGAAGATAGTGTTAGTGTTTTTTTTTTTTTTTTTTGGGTCCAGCAACGTTGATGTTAGCTTTCAGTTGATGCAAACATGATTCTGATGATTTTCGACATAAATGCATTTCTTATTTGCAGGTTAACGGCTTGCTTTTCATCAACTTATAAATGCAGCAGTGAGCATTGAAAACAAAGAGGGGAAATAGAGACAAACCAGAAGGACAGCTCCGATGAGTATCGCCGTCCGGGCAATAGCACCTGAATCTATACCCTTCAAATTCGAAGCCACACCTCCCTCCACTTCTCTTGCATTCGTCGCACCTGCTCGCCGTCCAGTTCGCTGACTTCAACACGAACCCTCTTCCCAACGCCTCTGCGATCCCTCCTTCCACATTTTCCACCACCGTCGTCATCACCTCGCCGCCTCTGCAATTATCCTTTGCATACTTCAACTTTTCCTCATCATCGTCCACCGCCAAACCCAACACCGACCTCGTTCTGTTCCCTTCCGAACACCCCACCCTGTTCTCTCTCATATCATCCGGCAGCGACGACGTGTCACAATTGAAGAACAGCAACAACTGTGTCTGGTTCGGGGCGAAATCGAACCTGTCGCCGTAAAGAGTAAGGTTGTTTGAAGGAGAGAGACAATTGTTGGAATTGGAGCTTTGTAATTTAGGGTTGGAGACTCGAAGAGAATTATTGCGGTAGAAGATTTCCCCGACGATGTACAGAGTATTGGAGAGATTGAGTGATGGGAAGCCATTGGGAGCACAGATAAGGTCAAAACGAGGGAATCCGCAGAAGGGGTCTTGTCTACCTACGAGATGGAAGGGGTAGCTTATGTTGGGGCCGTTTCCACAGGTTTTGGGTTCGCAAGCTTGGAACTTTGGATTGACAGAACAGAGGATGATTCTGATGAGAACAGAGAAGACGATGATGGCGAAGGCTGTTGCTAGGTTCATTTGGGAATTTAGAGAGAGAAGACGAACCGGGGCGAAGAAGAAGAGGAATTAAGAAGGGAATAAATAAAAAGAATGGTGGCGGGGGCGGTTGACCTGCGAATTAAAGACTCTGGCTCTGATCAGGCAGACTGTTATGGTTATGGTATGCCTACCTTTACTGCCTCGTAGCCTTATGAGTCATCAGTTACACTTTTTAAGTTTTAATTTTAATCATATTCAGATTTGATGGGAATCTAAAATTTTCACACCCAACGGGTGTCCCAAACGACACTATAGAAATCATAGATTCCATGGAACGGTTATAGAAGATGCGGACACAAAACGTAGAAAGAATACCAAATCACAATTTTGCCTCTTGTCATTTCTTATGCATTTATCCGATTATAGGGAATTGATTGAAATGCTCCCAATGGCTTCCCATCACTCGATCTCTCCAATATCCTATACATCCCGTGTGGGGGAAATTTACTATCACAATATTTTCTTCATCTATAAAATATTTTTAATTAAATCTCACATATTAATAAATATTTATTATTTAATTAAATTTATATAAAAATATAATATTTTTTTAATTTTATCATAATTAATATCATGATAGTGGTAGAAAAAATATATAATTAATTATTTATTTTATTTTTTAAGACAATGATAAAATTATTTAATTATTTAAAAATATTATTATCACTTCCTTATCTTTAAAATAAAATAAATTTATAAAAATATTTTATATATAAAAACGGAATCTCCAAATCTCGAATTCCACCAAGTGTCTCTCTCCTTCCAAGAATATAAAAGAGAAAGTAATACTTTAATTTTTTCTTTTTTAATAAAAACGAAGCCAGATATCAAATCAGATTGTTATGAGTAGTAGTGGCTGTCTTTTTAAAACAAGTGGCTTGAGATTAAAGAGTCATTTGTTTGTATTTCTATTTTTTTAAATTATTTTGTAATATAATTTTTAAAATTATTTTTTTAAATAAATTAATTTATCTGATTGTGTTAATTTAAAAATAATTTCAAAGTTAAAAATTTGGCCGGATGATTATAGGCTTGTACCGGTAGACAATGGTGACTTATGATAAGTTTTCAATAAACAAACATAAATATTTTGAAAATAAGAAAAATAAAACAAAAATATTTTTAAGATTTTTTATTTTTATTTTTAAAAACAAAAATAGAATAGTTTTGAAAACAATTAAAATCAAAACATTTATATAAAAAAGTTTTTTTTTGTTTTTAAAAGAAAAAAATCAAAAACAGAAACCAAACATGCCCTGAATTCATCTCTTATTTAATGTTGCATTTCTTTTTCAAATATCTTGTTTTTCATCTATACTGTAAAAACCAACCCCAATTCATCTCTCATTTACTGTTACATTTCTTGTTTTTCACTTTCTACTATACTAGTATGTGAAAGACTCTACTGCCCGTGATCTAAAATTTAGGGAGATATATAATTTAACTTAATTTGTATAGATTATTTATTTTTTAATTTTTTTTGTTATGGAAAATACGAGTTATTAGATGAAGCAAGTTGGCAAGCAGTTGAAAAAAAAAAAAAAAAAAGCATGGATCATTCGTCATTACACTTGCCTTTAGGCTTTCAAGGGACCAAATTCAAACCGTGCAAACAGTTCTCGCTTGTTCTTTTCTTCAAAGCAGATGATTTGATGCCCGAAATCAAATAAATTTAAAAAAGACCATAATGATTAAAATATTTGATTAAAAAAGAAATAACGAAAGAATTACGCTTGAATAAATTAATAAATATAAATGTTCAGAAACGTACTTAAATAAAGTAAGTATCTGTTTAAATTTTAGTTAAATATAATAGATTATAAAAATAATTAATTAAGTGGTAGATTTTAATCATAATTAATTATGTTATAACGCAATCTATTTGGATATTTTTTTAAAAAAATTAATTTTAGCAAAATTAAAATTATTTATATAATTTAATCATAGTTAATTTTAACCATATAAATTAATATATAATTTAATTTTTAAATATAAAATATTAATTTTTTGAAGATATAAAGTTACATTTTATTAAAAAAAAGGTAAGAGAAGAAAGTTTGGTTTTATTTTTATTTAATATTATGTTTTTTTATAATTTTTTCTCAAGCTTTTTTTTATAATTTTTTTAACATTTTTGATCAATTTTTTGCACAAAGCTGATCAGAAGAGCTTCTGAGAAAACACGCGTTTATGGTAATAATTAATTTTTGATTTTGTTTTTGACGGTTTGGATAACTTGATTTAAAAAATTATTTTTGAATTAAAAAATTGATTTTATGCCTTTTCAAACGCACGCTAAGAATCTGGCATAAGAAGACGACAATTGATGTCAATCAGGTAACAGTGGTAAATCAAGCTGTGCCCCAATTTAGTAAGTCAGTGGCTGTTGCCTTGGTCTCTGTGAGAAAGTTGGAAATTTTGACAAAAAACCTTTCGCCAAACTACAGTAAGTGTCAACAAAATACTATTTTTTTTTTTTTGTCAAAAAAGGGCACTGTTAAATCAAAATTTTACAACTTCCCTCGAGTCAATGTCCCAACTCCCACACGCAATATTGACTTTGTCGTCGTCTTTTTATTCTTCAATGCTGGGGCAAACATTACGCATCACGTGCGTCCGCTAATTAGCATGATCATATTTATATAAAAAAATAAAAGGAAAAAATAACAATAGCCATTAGTAGAGCCAGAATATGCGTTGGATTTCAAGGGTTGCCTGGATAATTGGCCAGAAGAATCAGGTTGGATTGAGAAAAAATTGGCTTATGGTATGTTCTGGCCTAGATTATATATACTATGAATCATATAGATTAAGCTTGATGAGTGAGAATTGGCCTTTTTAACTCACAAAAAATAAAAAAGAAAAAATTTTGAGTATAAACTATATTGAACATAACTTATTTAACTTGATCAATTCATATATTTTGTACAAATATTTAAGATTAATATTTTGATACATTTAGAATAAATTATGAAGGAATATCAAATTAAAAATAATCATTTAAGTGTATTTTTTAAAAATTTATGAAAAAATAAATGAGTTGATAAATTAGCTCATTTAACCCACCAACCTTTAACAATTAAATTATATTGAAATTTTTCCAACTTACGTGAAAATAGATTAAACCAAACTCAAGTTATATATTTTTTCAACTTATGGGCCAACCCATATGGTTAAGGTTGCCTCACATTTTTAGTTCTAGCCATGAGGTCATATAATTTGATTGTATTTTGTTTTAAATTTTTATAATTTTATTTCATTGTTTCCTATTGTTTGACTTTGATCATTATGAAATGTTAAAATCTAATTACTATTTTTTAATGCACATAAAGATTACCTGCGCACTAAGAAAGTTAATTTAGCTTTAAGTCTACTAATTCCTTTGATATTTGGCTAATTTGACATTGACAAACCATGATAAGAATATGTTAATGCCAAAATAAATTGATCACATATGATAAAAAAAACGGAAATTATTTTTATATTTCACTTAAATAGAATGTGAGAGTCAAAAATAAGATTAATAGAGTTAAGTACATGTCAGGAAATTCGTCGGCGCCAATTCATGATCTTTATGTGCATCTATATCTATAAAAGTAGAATCACACCTAACTTGACATGTATGCAAATTTTAAAACTATGCAATTCTAAACTATCCACATCATTGTCAATTTTTAAAAAAATTAAAAATGATCTCTCCCCTTGATCGGGCTATCACACATACTATGAAAATAATTACTAGAATTAACTCTAATGTAGTAAAAGGTCAACCAAAGCCGGTAATTTGAGTAAGTCAGATTTATTCAGGTTAAACTTATTTAAATTGAGCTTCAAATATCCTACTCTTTTAAAAAAATTCATATAATCAAGCCTCGTTCTAACTTTTTTAGGTCGGGTTTAGGCTGGCCCGTCAAGCTTGACCAAAATTACCTCCTCTATATACATATAAAGTAAGTAATTCTGGCAGTTGGGCTTATTCGGGCCGGGCTTAAAGTATCATATCCCTTTAAAAAAACACATATAGTCAAGCTTAGCTCTAACTTTTTTCAGGCCGGCTTGTCGAGCTTGGCCCAAGTTATTAGCTCTAAAGTCAACCTAAATCATCTCCCAAAGAGTGACTATTGTCTAACTAAGAGGCTAACTAGTGGAATAAATCACCCAAATGTATGAAATTGATTTATCTAAAAACCTACTAAACAAATAACAAAAAAAAAACTAAGCTAGAGAGAGAGTGTGTGTGTGTGTGAAAATTTCCTTTTAAAGTGTTAGAACCCTAGAGATTGATTGTGTTAGAATCCTTATCTTCTTAATAAATTAAGCCAATTAGTACTCTCTTCTTCCTCTTGACCAAATTATATTAGCCTAAAACAACTATCTGAAGCCAAATAACTTAACTAGTTAAATTCCCTAAATCTTAGATTAAATCCTTAGTGCATTTCATTAATTGGTACAAGTGTTAGCTAAGGGAGACAATTAAATTCATCCCTCAAGTGCCATGGCCAAATGCAAAGAAATGAGCAACTACAAGATTATGTAAAGTTACTCAAATGCAAGCATCAATCTCACAATATTATGTAACATTAAAGCAAGCAATTCACTAAATGAAAAATGTAATTACATACATTAATTATCAAATGGCTGAATTAAACTAAGAACAAATGAGAGAAAATTTGATATTATAAGTATATTCTCTTTACATAAAGATTAAATTCAAATTAGAATTACAAGGTTATGATAATCAAATTCTCAACTAAAGCATCTAATCATCAAGTTAAGGGAAGAGCTAGGAAATAAGAAAAGCTTAGTCAAAGTTGCTCATGATTCATCCTTCGTCTTCCTTTCTTTGGGATTCCTTCAAGGTGCTTAGCTTCTCATCTCCATCTCCATCTCCATGGTCTTAATGGGTCTCAAAAAATTGATAAATTAATAACTCATATTGATAAATTAACAAATAAAGTAAAAAAAATAGTAATTAATAATTTTACATAACAAGTGATGGATACTTTAATCTTTTTATTGTTAAAATTATTTTCACTTCAATCCTTTTAGACTAAGCTAAAATTTTAAATTTTTTAAAGACTCACTAATAATTAAGTTACATTTTTTGTT